TTTCTTTCTCTCAGTGACTGTTTTTAATTCCCTTTTCTTTTCTTTCTTGGTCTTTATACATTTAACTACATAAAAATTCATGTGACATAAGGTCATAATCAACGTTATATGATTAGCTAAGAAGTTATTTGTAATATATGTAAAAGAAACTAGTTTCAAGATGATTTGAAGGACTCTAGAAATTAATAAAAAATAGACAAGCAACCAATAAAAATAGGGAATATCATCTGTAGAGGCAACTCGCCAGAAAATACAAATGAGCAGTGAGTAGTGGTGCACACCTGTAGTCCCAGCTGCTCTGGAGGCTGAGGCAGGAGGATCCCTTGAGCCCAGGAGTTTGGGGATGTAGTGCTCTATAGTTGTACCTGAGAATAGCCACTACATGACACTCTAGCCTGGGAAAACACAGTAAGACCCTTTCTATTTAAAGGTACCAGTAAAACACAAATTTAAAAATGCTAAATTTTACTAAGTGGTTTACTAACTGATTTTTGGAAAAACACCCACAAATATAACCAAAACTGTAATTTTCTTTGGGTAGGTAAGTGATGCAACTTATCCCTATACATTTAGCTATATGAAGGGGACACCCAGCATCCCCCCTCCCCCCACCGTGGAAGACAACTGTTCTTAAACTGTTCACCATCTAGTCCATTGCATACCATAGGGGGAGATTTTCATTCTTGAGGGTTGAAGAAGAGTGTCGATCTCTCTGATCTCTCCCAGGTGAGACCCCAGCCCTATGCCTATCTGCTCAACAGATACGAATATATTACTGATTATTTACTGTGAATGAGTTTTTCCTTTGTATATAATGCCATAGTGTTTATATTTTAGTTTTTCATATATTCCTCCTCAAAAAGAACCAGGACTCCTTGAGGAATGCAGATGAGCTAGAAACCCTACACCGTTATGAGAAAGAAAGGCTGTTTTCAAACACGCATATGGGTTGGAACAAAGGAGCCAGATTGGAAGGACTCTCATTGGTTACTCAGTGAGGAGTTTAAGACAGAAACCATTTTAGTTCACTGAAATATTGAATTGTAAAAGGGCATAACTTCCCAATATATTCAAAGAGAACAAACACGCTTAGTATGATAAAATAATTTTACTCTTATTCTTTCCCAAGGGATACAGAGGAGTTTTCCAGAGGTTATGGGATACCTGGTGACACCATTGCCCCAACAGACTATCTGCTTTGTATTCTTATGCTTTAAAGAGTCTTGGTTTTCATGCCTCATACAATGAGCAGAGATAGATATAATCTACACAAACCAAAGTTCTTTGCAGGGGCCATGGAATGGAGGAGTCTGGAAACGGTCATACTAGATAAAAGTTAATCTTATTAAATAGGTAAATCAGTTAGTAGTTACTGAAGAAGAATAGGGTGCATCCCTCACTTTATACAGGCATATGGAACATTTTGGCTCAAATGTTGTCACTCTATTAGTCCAAGTGGTGATTGTCGTAATGTGAGGATTGTCTGGTTTTCTAAGACATATGAAATGTTTTGGTACCCAAAGGAAAAATTAATCCTGTTGAATTGATACTTTGAGACTATTGATTCTTATGGGACATTGGTGACTCCAGAAGTAGACTCCAAGGAGACTTGGAACCCGAGCTTTCTAAGAAATGACTGGCCTGAGAAATGGACTTTGGGTTCTTTATCCCACTACCATTATCATGGAGCAAAGGGCTTTTTTCCAATTTCTTTTTTAGTAGTCTATTGACTTTGCCATCAATCAGGCTACACTTTTCTGAATGGTTAAGAGAGGCCAAAAAAATCCCTGAGAATGTAGGCCAGGAATGTCTTCAAGGTGTGGCCTTTAACTCCATGGACGTGGACCTGTAGCAGCCTGTGGCCTGTTAAGAACTGGGCCACAGAGCAGGAGGTGAACAGTGGCTGAGGGAAGCTTCCTCTGTATTTACAGCGGCTCTCATCACTCACATCACTGCCTCAGCTCCGCCTCCTGTTAGACCTCCCTCCCTGCAAACTGCCCTCTGTGGAGAAATTGTTTTTCGTAAAATTGGTCCCTGGTGCAAAAAGGTTGGAGACCACTGTCTTAAAGCACTTGAAAGTCTTTGCTCCCACCTGAGGATACCCACGTGCATACTTTTTTTTTTAAATTAAATAATAGCTGTGTACGTTAATGCAGTCATGGGGTACAATGTGCTGATTTATATACAATTTGAAATATTTTCCTCAAACTGGTTAACATAGCCTTCATGACATTTTCTTAGTTATTGTGTTAAGACATTTATATTCTACATTTAGTAAGTTTCACAAGTACCCTTATAAGATGCACCGTAGGTGTGGTCCCACCAATTACCCTCTCTCCACCCATCCTTCCCCCTCCCCTCCCCTCTCTTCCCCATATTCTTGGGCTATAATTGGGTTGTAGCTTTTATATGAAGATCTTCCTGTCTTTTCTGCATCTCTTTCTATTGATTTTTTTTCTTCTTCTCATGGGTCATATTTTTTCAAAGAAGCATTTTTGGTTTTTTTATAGGCTGGGTGTGGTGGCTCATGCCTGTAATCCTAGCACTCTAGGAGGCCAAGGTGGGTGGAATGCCTGAGCTCATAGGTTCGTGAGCAGACTGAGCAAGTCTGAGACCTTGTCTCTAAAAAATAGCCAAGTGTTGTGTTGGGCGCCTGTAGTCCTAGCTACTCAGGAGACAGACAAGAGAATTACCTGAGCCCAAGATTTAAGGTTACTGTGAGTTGTGATGTCACAGCACTCTACAGAGGGTGCCAAAGTGAGACTGTGTCTCAAAAAAAAGAAGCATTTTTATTGAGGTAAAATATACGTATATATAATTTACCCTCTTTACCTTTTTAAGTGTATACAGCAGTGGCAATAAATACATTCATATTCTTTTTCTCTTTTCCTCTCCCTCCACCGACTATTTTTCTGCTTCTTTGCTTATCTAGTGACTTTGGATTGAATGGGAGATATTATGGAGCTTGCCATGTAGAGTTCATGGAATTTTTTGTATTCTTGTAAAAAAAATATTATTTTTTTTGAGACAGGGTCTTGCTTTGTTCCCTGGATAGAGTGCAGTGGGCCAGTGGACATCATCATATTTCACCCAAACCTCACATTTCTGGGCTCAAGTGATTCTCCTGCCTCATAGCCCAAGTAGCTGGGACTACCAGTGTGTGCCACCACATCCAGTGAATTTCTCTGTTTTTTTGTTTTTGTTTTTGTTTTTATAGAGACAAAGTCTTGGTCTTGCTCAGATTAGTCTTAAACTTATAACCTTATGACTGTACCTAACAAATATAACCTGTACAACCTGGTCTCTTCTACTCTCAATGAATCCCCAATAATAAAAAAAAAAAAAAAACGTGGCGAATACTCCTGTATGGATCTAGTCCCCAGAACAAATTACTTCGTCCCTATCTCTGGCAGTGATGACTGTCTGAAGAAATGTGACACCCCTGGCAGATACAATTAATGTGAGAAATATGGCTGCTTTTCCACCATGAAGAGGCTTAGTGTAAATTTAGGGCATTTAGTAATATTGTGGGGTTTTTTACTTTTAAGTACCTGTTTGTTTTTTATTTAATGAGTTGGTCCTGAAACTGCTCTCCCTCACAAATCTTTACAAGTAAACTACTTTTCTATATGCTAAAAAAGAAAAAAACAAAAAACTTTCTGATCTTAAGCAATGCTCCTACCTCGGCCTCCCAAGGTGCCAGAATCACAGGTGTGAACCACTGTCCCTGGCCTCCGACAAATATTTTTGAGCTTTGTTCTAGGACACAGTTAAGTTACTTGGAAACAGTATAATTTTTTTGGAAAGATTTGCTTTTAAGTCTTGTTAAATGTGATCATAGCAGCCTTTAGTCAGCTCATTAATGACATGATACTTTTCTAAATATTCTCCATAATGTTCCATGAATTTTAATGTTTGTTCATTTTGGTTGGTAGGAGCACCTGGGTGATCTCTGAGAATTGCTCAGTTCATCCATGGAGTAGTTCTTATCCTGGCCTCACACACATGCTGGTGAATGCTCAACTGAAAACACAACCTCTGCAAATCTGCAGGGTTTACTTTGCATAGCCTTCTCATCTCCCGTAAATGCACACTGAACCCTGGTCACTTTGGCCTTCCTGGACCCCAGTTCCTCTCTAACTCAGGGAGAATACCAAGGATCTCCTACCTGTACTGTGGCCTGGAAACTCTCTCTAGACAGTAGGAAGGGGACAATTTTGTGGTTCCCTTTGTTAGATTCCTCTCTCTTTGGGATCATTGTACTAGACTTCCTGATGTTCAATGCCTGGTAATAGCCGTTCTATATATCATATGGGCTTTCATGGTTGTTTCAGGCAGAAGATAAAGGCTGGAAGCAGAAGTTTGGGGAAATATTTTCTTTTTTTTAAAGTTTAAAACTCTGAAAGTCAAAGTTGAAATAGTCTTTTACCACAACAATTGACCTGTGTATAGAGAATAGATAAAAATATCACCACTATTTTTTAAAAAGTTGGAATATGGTAAGATCCAAGGAGACATTTCTTTCTAGATTGACAGGAGTTCATGTTTTCTACTTACGATAATTGTGCTTGTGTTTTCTTTTTGCACATGTGTTACTTTACCAGGAGTGTACATTTCCTTTCCTTTCGGGCTGCCCAACAACTTGTTTAAACCTCTATTAATGGGTGCTAGCATTGTTTCCCATTACTTTACTTTCTTCCTATTAGTATAAAGAAGCCTCCTCAATTTATTATTACTGAAATATTGCCCTGTTCTTGGAATTTTTTTGCATTGAAAATCTACAGATCTTAAGTATTTTAGGCCTGTATGACAGGGACTCTCTTCAATTTATTTTATACCCTCCCCATTCTTAGAGAAAATAGAGCCATTTTCCCCCTTCCCATCTCAACTAGGGGCTGACATAAGGGATAAAATAACCAGTGATTTGGGCTTTAACTTTTATTCACATATTGAAGATATGGACACAATGGTTTTGATTTGAATATTTAATTTCTTTTCAGGTGATTCCAATTATGACATGCTATGTAAAGAAGAAATGATTGAACTCAAAGATATTTTCTCTGTGAAACTGAAACGGCGTTGTTCTGTTAAACAGCAGGGAAGTGGCACCCTATTAGGTATCACGCTTTTCATCTGCTTAAAAAGGGAACAGAATAAATTGAAGGATTCTACACTTGATCTTATTAATTTAAGTGAAGATCACTGTGACATATGGTTTCAACAATTCAGGAAAATTTTGGCAGGTAAGAATTCTTTATGGGAATTTAAAACGAGCCTGGTTTCCTTGATATAGATTCTTATATAACTTAAGCATGTTATATTTGAGTACGAACAACCTTTGATTGTATTGAAATAGTTTCCTTCTATTCTTTGTGTGTGTTTGTTTTTTTTAAATCATGAGTGGATGTTGAATTTTTTCAAATGTTTTTGTATATTGTTTGAGATGATCATTTTGTTTTCTCCTTCATTCTGTTAAAGAGGGATATTACATTGGTTTGTTTCCTTTGTTCAACCATCCTTGCATTCTAGGAATAAATCCCATGGTGAGCACTCCTTTTAATATGCTATTAAATTTTGTGTGCTAGTATTTTAAGGATTTTTGCATCAATATTCATAAAGCTGATTGGTCTATAGTTTTTTTTGTTTGTTTTTGTATTGTCTTGTCTGGCTTTGGATTAGGTTAATGCTGGTCTCATAGAATGAGTTAGGAAGTAACCTTTGAATCACTACTTTCATGAAGAAGCTTTAATGATCTAATGTAACACAGTTCTTAAATAATTCAGTTTCCTTCAGAGTTTATGGAAACACTTATTTTTCTATTAATCCATCTCTTGGGCTTATATTAGAATTTGTTTTCCTTCCACTTATAAATTGATGATAAATGTATATATGTACTGGGTAGCTTAAAAATAAGAGATTTTCTTTAGCAATATTCTTTAAGCAGTCATACTTTATATGCTGCCAATTGAGAATTATCTACTTCAGTATAGATTTTTCTAAGGGTTAATATCTAGAGAAAAGAGAAGATGTTTATTAGTATATATCTCCTAATAAATTCAGTATATCTGAAATTTACAAATGACATTTTTATACTTTACATACAAATAAAATCTGTAAGTACAAATATAATATAAGGTATACCCAGAAACTATCCAACCATTGTTAATATTATTTTTCATATTTCATGAATGGATAATTTTCAGACAGACCTCATGCAGTTTATATTTCAACTAGATAAATTCTAGAAATTCAGGACCACTGACACATGACTTTAGTACCGGCTACTTGGGAGTCTGAGGTGGGAGGATTACTTGAGCCCAGGAGTTCATATCTAGCCTGGCCCACATGGTGAGACTCCATCTCTTAAAAAAAAAAAATTAAAAAGTAAACATTTAAAATATAATCCAAGTTTTAGGGCTTATTATTTTTCTCTTCATAGGTTTGTAAATCTTGCTCATTTTTCCTTTTAGCCCATTTCTTCTGCTTGCCAGATTGATCAGGGTAGAGGCAGCTAGTGTGACCGAAGGCATAGTTTGGGGTTAAATGGCACAGAATACAGATGGGTGCCAGATATAGAGCAGGCACATGGTGATGTCAGAAATTTCCAGGTCTGGCATCATTGATCAAGAAGACCATTAGGTCCCACATTGGTCAAAGACAGCCAGATGATGACATTATGCTCACAGGAGATGCTCTATAGTGACATCATATTGAAATTGGGAGACCCTGTTACAAAGTGGTCCTGGGTTTCCTTGTTAGCCCCTTTGGAACCTGCAAGGAAACCTGATTCTGTCAAGAGGCAAGAATTCACACAGGCCATAATTTAGCTCATTTCTCTGAAAATAGAGAATATGTATAATTAACTAAAAGCATTCCACTTCAGCATGGATATCTTTTACAATAGTATTTTGAATTTGTGTCAAGAGATTTTAAAAAGTTAAAAATGAAAAATTAATTTCAATTGAATTGAATTTATGAACACGGCCGGGTATTCATAAGGCTTAGGTGGTCTGTAAAATAAGAATGTATCATTTGGTTAGAGAGCCGAAGCTCTTCTTCCCACTTAAGATTGAGGAAGTCCGTTCCCATAGGGCTTATGAAGGGCTGGGCTAAGGCATTTTCCTCACTATAGCTCACCCATAAATCCAACAGCAATTAAGTGGGCGGCATCACAACACAGCTCATTTCAGTAAAAGCAGTTTTATAAGAGTAAAGGGACTTGTCAAAAACAAAAAGCCAAAAAAAAAAAAAAAACTGTCTAAGTATTTGTTCACCTTAATGAATAATGTTTTTGTTTGGGCTGGGGTTAAAATCTAGACAAATTACGGAGATGAACATAGTACACATCTTTTAGACTATCATCCTCTCACAATGTTTTTGAAACTTTTGAGCCTTTTGCTTGTTTGTTAGTTTGTTTTTTCAAGATTAGTCAAGTGCAGTAATGAGAAAGGGGAAGAAAGAAAAACAAATAGCTTCGTTGTAACTCAGAGAATAGTCATCTGAGATGACTCACTGCCTTTGGATCAGCCTGAACTTTGTTTTTAAATTTCAGATAAGTATATGGGTACAATTAGGTTGCATTGTTTGTTAGGTAAAGTCCAAGTTGTAGTTGAGCCCCTCATCAAGAGGTGTACTGCCCTTACCTTGTGCTCTGAGGTCAGAGCTTACCTCCTGATGAGAGTTGAAGGCAGTAAAATACATGCGTCACATTGTCTGGCATGGTCTTGGAATATAGAGTTAATTTGTTGATAAAAGCTAATAGATTGACTTTTACAATCAACTGATGTGAACAAACAGAACACGGTTAAACTCCTCTAATGAAAATGAAGGAACCTGTAAGACTGTGAATAAATCACTGTGCTCAGGTGAACCCAGAGTCCTATAGGAGGTGCCAACTCTTTGCCCTTTTACCCCTTTACTTGCAAAGGCAATTCTGGGTCAGCTTCGTCATATGCAAATGAATGGTTGAGGCTCCAGAGTTCTGTACTAATCATTCTGTTATGTTAGCACTTTCCTTTGAAACTTGAAATCTCAAGACATTATTCTTAATGTTTCTTTCACTTCCAAGTCCAGATAATTCAATGTTCATTAAGGGACCTGTCACCTAAGAATCAAATCAAAATCAAAGTTCATTTTATAAGTGAAGGCAGCCCTGGGTCTTTCTCATTCTCTCTGGGATAAGGTTAATTGCTAACCTTTTTCTGGTCCTTTGAAGTCCTGATTTGTATCAGATTGGGTCTATACAACTATCTTCGTGTCTCACGTTTGCTATCTTTATTTTGTCCTGTGCTGTGTCATATTTGGGAGATGATAATTGTTCATTTGTGTACATACACAAACACACACGCACTGACCTAAGTCAATTTACTTAAGTTTACATCACAAAAATATAAATAACTTGCAGTTAAATATTAAATATCCCGATGTGAAATCCAAAGATCTTGTTTTTAACTGGTTCTGCTGATAAAACTGACAGGTTTTTTTAAAAATCACATTTTTGATTTTGTCTTTATTCAGAAATGGGATTTTTGCTCCCAACAACCTTCACATCTTTCCATTTTTTTTTTCTATTGAAAAAAACATGGCAAAGCCATTAAAGCCTCAAATAGTTGGTCTTCTAGTCTAATTAGCTAATAAACTAGACTAACACTTAAAATTTTAATACAGTTTAAATATTAAGGATTGTTTTCAAATGTACATGGTTATGTTTCGAATTGGAGCTATGACTAAAACATGGTGAATTTTCAAGAAAAGTAAGAATTGGGAACACTAGAAGGAGGACGGAAGCAACTCTGAATACTTGAGATTTTAAGACTGATCAGACAATAGGGGTTTATAAATATGAGTCTTAGAACTATTCCTATTTTTATTTGAAAACAAGTCAAGTTTTTTCATATTCCAGTTTTCTGAACACACTTGAGTGTAGCATCTTTTTATTCTTAGTAATAGAAGAGTCATTATAACTTTATTGACCAATAAGTAATATGGGTTAATTTACCCACCACATGTTTTATATCAGAAACTGTACCATGGGCTGAGAATACAAAAATGAATGAGATGTAATCCTGTATAGAACTCCGTTGCCCTGGAGACAGATAAGGCAACTCATTATATCACAAATGTGTTAAGGGCCACAATGAAGATATAAATAAACTAACAGGAAACACAACCATTGATCACTGATTCGGAAATTCAAATCTTTAAAAAATGCAATTGTTCAAGATGAATACGTAGTCATTGATAAGCCTAATAGACTAATGATTATTGTGGCAAAAGTAAGTTCACACAGTCTTTTGTGGAAAAAGTCAGGGGAGGGTTCACCAGTGTCTGTAGATGTGAAGAGAAACATTTTAAGAACAGGGTGGTGCCTGTAGCTCAAAGGAGTAGGGCACCGGCCCCATATACCGAAGGTGGTGGGTTCAAACCCAGCCCTGGCCAAAAACTGCAAAACAAAAAAAAAAAAATCATTTTAAGAACAATAAGAATAAAAGTTCCAAAGCCTTATGTTCAAGTAAATTGGAGAATGGCAACATTATGAATAGATATAGTGAAAACAGGACACTAGTTGATTCCAAGGAAAGATAGGTTGATCTCCTTGAAAGCAAAAAGCTAGGCTTCTTAAAACATTGGTTTTCTTTAGTACTTATTTTGTCCTATATAATATCATAGTAAAATATTTTTTTGCCCATGCTACATCCTTAATTATAGTATCTTGAATCAGAATTTTTCTTAAAAAGAGAATAGAATACTGTGAAGCTTTTACTTAGATATGCGGCCAAATAATGTACTTATAAGGAAAAATAAACTGGAAATCAATATCATTATTTTAAAATGAGCAGCTCAGGGAGTGGGCAAAGCCAGAGGGCCGAATGAAACCCTCCAGTGATCATCTCTGTGCAAGAAAACCAAACTTAACAAGATAGCATGAGATAGATAGCAACAAGAAGAAGCAGCAAAAATCAGGTAAGTAATCACAGCACCTGGTTTTCACCTTATGTCAAGGAAAGAGGCTCTGAAGAGGATATGTCAAGGAAAGAGGCTCTGAAGAGGATAGGAAAGACAGTCTTACATAATTTACACCACACCTCTCCCAGGTGCTGGCAGTGCCTCACCACTGAGGGGGAGAGTGAATCTGTGTGCCTGAGGCCAGGGAGTACAGTGTTTGTGGTACTTTGCATTGGAATTCAGGGCCTCTCTGTCACAAGGTAAGTAGCACAGGGCTGAACTCTGCCAGCACTCGTGG